AGTGGTTGTGAACTTTGGTCTATATTCAAAAAATGGCATTGAGCTCAATATACTGCCTGAAGTCTCAGCAAGCCATTTTTCTTCAGGAGGTGCTCAACCTATTGGATACAGAGAAAAAATGGATATAATTCTGGGTATGTGTGACTTAAATGATCCTGACAATAGTTATTACCAAGAAAAGCATTCTCATTAGAGATTTGCTATTTGGATATTCTGGACTTCAGCTCCCAGAATTCTCCATTCTGGGTATCCCACCAGATACTTACATTTACAGACCCCTAAATGTAGCTCACCTGGAAGGCTTCATGACCTAGCTTGCTGTTTAAAATGTGCCTGCTGGGAGTCAGAAGTATTGTAATGTACAGAAGACGCGGGAAACTATTGATCACCAGAAGTTTTTAGACTCCAATTTTCTACAGCCAGCCTTGCCAACACTGAGTAGGGTGTTAAGAAATGTCTATGAATTACTCATTCTTCTCAAGAGTTTGCTAGCCCTTTGCAATTTCTTGCCTTTACCACAAGAAAGTGAAAACAAGCTTCTGTAATTGACAGAAAATGAGTCTGCACTAAACGACTATATTTTCCCTTTATGAAGCACGATACACTCAAATAGCAACCACAGGACTGGCTGATTGATCCCAAAGATACAAGCATTCCACCCAAAATTTCTAATTTCTAAAAAGCCATGTAAGACAGCATGATTTACACAAAAGTCATTCTTGAAAACATGAGAACACTTGCAGAGTGATGCAAGAGTTGGAACAACTGAAAATAATGGGACTTGCTTCTGAATAAATATGTACAGAACTGTGCTACTAGTGCATTTATATTACATGGTGAAAGAAAATTCTAATAATAAAAATGGTTTGTAAAAATAAACTGAAAAACACTATACTGTACAAAACAAACTCCTAACAGTGTAGCTTATCTATGTACTGTATCTCTGAATATCTGCAATGGAGGAGGGGTGAAATATACTTTTGACTCAGAGCCAGTAGTTTCTTTGTTTTTCAGCAAGGATTTGATCACTCAATTTTAACCCAGGGAGTAGGAGAACATACTATATAGGAATGTACCTATCAAAGATCTAAGGTGACTGAGTAGCACATATATTACTTTTCATGAAAACAGTTAAACATTATATTAAAAATTCCCTTTATGGAAGACTTGTGTATACTACAATGATGTGACAATGTATTAAGTAAATTAACTCAATGTGCTTCTTTCAAAAATCAAAACAATAAACAAATGCCAGTACAAATTATTTTTATAATGAAAATCCAAAAGCAATGTCAAAAGATCAGCCACTTTCATTTAATCAAGTAGCAGATATGGCCACAATCAGCTACAAACCGTGTGAAGAATAATGTACAAAAGAAAACAGTGCTTTAATGCCATAACCTGTTAGAAGGAAAATAACTTCTTCTCCAAAGACTTACCAAAGATAGTGCCTCTTCTGAAGCTGTTTTAAATTCATCTTGCTTTCCAATTATTTTTTGAAGCTGAAAAAAAAATTATGTTCTTTTCATTCACTATCCTATTATTTTTCATACTAGAATGTGTTCACATAGTTTGAAACAGCATCTTCTCTCAAAGCGATTTCAACGAGAACAAATATGAAATTCTAACATGAAACAGCCCTACACGGTTTATATGTACAAACCTTAAACTCCTCACTACATGAAAAGTCACATATATAATCACATAAAAAGTTATGAAGGTTTCATATTAATCTAGTACATTCCATGTTTGGAGACATGGTATGTCACATGGGTGATGGAAATCAGCTTAAAACTTCGGAAGTCAATATGATGTTTAGAATTTTCATCACTTTTGAGTAGGCTGTATTCAACTAGAGTCTTCTCACTGAATAAGCAGAGGCTGGAGCTGAACTCTGCACAAGGAGAAGTTGGTTCATGCAACTACTGTACTCTTTCCTCCCCCTTCACCCAATTTTGGGCTATTTTCCTGTTGCCCTTCAAATCCATAGCCTATGCTGTTCAGGTGTTCACCCACTCCACCGGAGAAGCTTTCCAAATAACTGTACAGACAGGGAGGGATGGCTTGCACAAGCAGCCTTCTGTTTATTATTACAAGTCTTTTAGATTTTCAGAAATATGCTGCTCTTCTTGTTACTGTTGTTCTCATACCAAAGGTGGGATGTCATCTTGGCTAATCTAACTTTGGACCCAGAGCTCAGAAGAGTGTGCACAAAATAATGCTAAAAACAGGGAACTGATTTTATAAACTATTTTTAAAAAGAGGTTCTCCTTCAGTGCTTAATATAAACTACAACTATGCAGTGGCTTAAAATATAAGGTGAGAGGTCTCTGGGTCTAATCTTGCTTCAGACATGAGCTCATGAAACGGCTTCAAGCAATCTTCTTTCTCATCATCCTTCCCAACCAACTTTCCAATGTTGTCATTACCATCTGAAATGCAGGATGATACTATCAACTTGACCTGCAAAGCTCACTGGCAGCAGGTCACAGGCTTTGCCCATGTATCAAATTCAGTCTCTGGCATCTCTAGTTAGAAGTTATCAGGCAGCAACATGTGAAGAGACTGTCCTGAGATTGGTCAGCAGCTGCTGGTCAAAGAAGGCACTTCTAAGCTGAAACAATGCCCCACTATATAAGTCAGTTTTATAAAGTACTGTAGGGATTGAGACAGTGCATGGGAAGCACTTTGAATGGACAAGAGTGCTATAAAACCAAGCTATTCTGTGTTTTGATTTAAAATTACTATAACATGACTGTGTAATTTTGTATCATAGGATTCTTTAATCAGTTAAGATCCAGACCATGGTCTCCAGCAAATAGGTCCATTTACAGCTTATGATAAATTTCTAGCAAATTGTTCAGCATACACCGAGAAGTAACCTCTTTGTGAAACATCTATAATTACTCACATATTTCTTTGTGTTTAGCATAGCACACTGCGGAATTTACTTACCTTTCAGAGGTATTACCACCACTCCTCAAATAGACAGCAAAAATAGAAGAACAAGGGATTTATTATTTGTGATGACAGAGATAGAAGGAAATTGACAGAGTCAAGGATTTAGAGTTGCCTAGGTGAGGTGTTTTAAAATTTTTATCACTGTGAGACAAACAGCACATGACTTTGCTTTCTGAATAATGAAATGGAACCATGCTCTCAAAGTGTTCTTTATTAATCTTAACCCTCATTTCCAATTCTTTGTGTTAACATGAAATAATACTTTTGGCAGGTGAGGACTGAAGTGGCAATATTCCCCTTATACAGGCTGCACCCAACCCTGTCCAGTGTGCTTCTAAAAGAACGGTATACAGAAAAACCCAACACTCAGCATGGACACCCTTTTTGTAGAAGAGCACACGCTAAACACTGATCTGTTTACTTAACCAAGGGAAACTCTTCTTCTTCTCAAACTAGTGCCTGCTGAGATATACATAAGACACATATGGACTCATGAAAAGACTGTGCCTACAGTCAAGCTGTCAGTCCTTATAGTTTGGGCAAAAACAACATGTCATAATGTCACCTTACAGCAGAGCAAGGAGACACTGCTTGTAGGGACTGCCTTTCCAAGGCATTCATAGTTGTGTCCTGCCTTTATTTGAACTTGGAGAACATAATTTTAGTTTCCTTTCAGGAAGTGAGTTTGTTAGATCTGGATATATTAGCTAAGGGGCCCACCTATCATATCTGTTTTTTTTTAACACTGAAATTGAAGCTGCATGATCTCTCCCATTATAGCAACAAATACCCTATAGCATTATTCTGTTAATTTGAAGGCATTTTAGTATGAACTTAAGTCAAGTCTGTATGTTACAGTATCATATTAAAAAGTTAAATATACCCTCTCTTTCCATTTCTGCAATGTAAACCTATATAGCAAAAAGTTTTAGCTGTTCCACATGTGTATGCAAAATATATATAAAAATTCCACATACACACTAAAGATAGGAAATCTGAGAACTTTTAAATTAAACCTACTTATTGCCCTTGCTTGTAATACTAAAGCATTGTGCTTGACCAAGTATGTTAATACAGGAAAAGGAAGGGCACATTTGTCATATGTTCATTGTCACCTATACCCAAATGTAAAAATATGCTATCCGGTCTATAGTTAAGAGAAAGTTTGCTAATACCTAACTCAAAGTTTAAGTAAAAAAGGTTGCAAAAGGTTTTAATTTCCTCAGTTATTCTAGCAAGGACATGATCTCTGTGTACAGAGGAGATGAGGAAGAAACATATTTCAATCTGCTGCACATTTGGTAGTTGTATGGCATTTCCATGCATAACATATGAAAACATTTCAAAATATCCACATCATACCTTAAAGAATTCCTTTTTCTCTACTTGTTCATTCCCATCTGCATCCAACATTTTAAAAGCAATGTGAAATCCAGTCTGTGGCTCTGCAATGAATCATAACAAACAGAATTGTGCAAAAATACTCTATATGTCAGATAACTGCCCGATTCTCAAATTCTACATATACAAAAATATGCTCTCGTGTTCACAGAAAAGCAGAAGGTCCATAAGTAACTATACAAGCATGTGGTAAAATGTTCTGAAATCATTTTTTAAACTACCTAACTGAAAGAAATTATGAAGTTGGTCTCCATTACTGTGAAAACTCATTAAAAAACAGGAAGGATGGCCTAAATTATGCTAAATAAAAAACAGATCTTTGAGTCATATCTTGGAGGTCAGGTATAGAATGTCACAACAGAATGGCCCAGCAATAGCAATGAGAAAGTCAAAAGATATCCATTATTACAACCACAGCACAGAAATGAATAACTGATTATAAAAGGCAGTAAAAAAGAATACTAGGGAAAGTAAGACATACTGTATATGTAAGCCTTTTCCATTACTTCTTGTATCAGGTGCCATAGAGTTTATACAGTTTTCTGTGTTAATATTATGTACCACAGATACAACCCAAAACTCTACAAAGTTTACTGATTTGTTCGTACAGTAAACGGTTTTTCACCTATTTCAGAGATTTGACAACATGACTTTCAGATCCCTGAAATTTTGAGCAGATTAATAACACTCATGATTGATAACAAATATTTCATACGCAATATGATTAATGTGTGCTAATAACCCCAGAGAAGAAACTCATACTAATAGAGGGCAGTAGCATATCTATTCCAGTTGAATGTTACATTCTAAGCATTTTACTAAATATTCTTTCAGTCAGCAATACTATGTATAGAGCCTGTAAATATGACTGGAGGTAAAAGCAGAACGATTTGTTCTTATGTGATGCATACCATCTGTTGCAATATGCTGATAAGAAGGTAGCCCCACATAATACATAGGACTTTAAGCTCTTCATGCAGCTCACAAGATGACATTCTTATCTGATATGATGCAACTCTAATGGCATGTATTTATAAAACAAGTAAGGTTCAAAGAAAAGCTCAATACACTTGTAATTAATTAACTCTAAAATGCAATGTTTTAAATATTCACATTGGTTTTAGTAGAAGTCACATTTTGGCGCTGTCCGTAAAAAGAACACTAAACTTCCTCAAAATACTAATCCCTCACTATTGTGTATTTGCAATACAGCTCAAGTCAGCAATATAGGGAAAAATTAACCTTTTCTCAAAGGTACAGGGACTATGTATATCCTTCAGGGTAGGGAGTGCTTCAGTCATTCTCTGAATGGGAGATTAAGTAAGGATGTTAAAGGAGGGAGTGACATGAAACCTCCCACTTAATTCCAGTTCTTTTGGGAATATATTTGGTTCCTCTTAAAAAACTGATCAAGAAACTGCCCACAGTTTCTCAACTGACCCTCTAGACCAGTGGTTCGAAATCTTGGGTTATTCAGGTGTTTTTGAACTACAACTCCCAGAAGCCCTATCCAGCACAACTGGTGGTGAAGGTTTCTGGGAGTTGCAGTCCAAAAACACTTGAGTAACCCAAGGTTAAGAACCACTGCTCTAGACAAGCAGCAGAAAATATTATTTTTCCTTTCTTTTTTTAGAAGTGATGCAGCATCTCAGTAATAGTCTACCAGAGTTATAAAATAATAATTCCCCTGCCACCCCAATCAAGGAACAGAGGAAGAGTTCAATTTGCTGATATCATGACTTGCTTATTAAGCCACTTCATTGTACTGGAAGGAGCTGGATCAAACAGGGTTGCTTGAGCTTCGATATGCCATTTGGATGCATGGACTGCACCAAATGGCATAACACATCTTCACCTGAGCTCAAGCCACCCTATTTCAGCTGCACCAGTCTCCTTCAAAAGAGCCAGTGTAGCCATGCCCTGAATCTAAATAAATATTGTGTGTAGGGAAACGTGTTAATCTGGTGGAGGTGTTGAAGAACCTCTGAAGAACCAAGTACATTACATAGCTTGATGGTTCCACCTGGACTTGGAGCTATCTATAAAGATGCACATGGTGTTGGTTACTAGGGCCTCCTTCTATCAGTTCTGGATGATTTGCTATTTGAATCTATTTTATGAAGGGATTTGTATTGCAGTGGCTGTTTTAAACAGTTTAAAGTAACTCTTCTATGTTATTGATTCTGTAAATTGCCTTAGAGAGGTTACACCTTCAAAGATCTTACAGAAGTACTTTACATAAACACTTAACCAGACGTTAAAATCTTTCTTGTTTGAAGAAGCCTTTGTAAGACAACTATCAGAATCAAAGTTATCCTTTAAGTATCTGTGTGTAGTACAATGGTCTCTTCAGGCACAAAATACTGTTGTACGGTTTTCACATTTCAGCTTGTTAACATATGCATTAAATATCTGCATTCACATTCTTTCTATGGGATATATATGCACAATGGTGGAGGACAGGGTTTCACTTACCTGTGGCTTATTTTGGAGGTAGGGGTTATATTACGAGCATCCTGAAAAATCATACTAGGGCTTATTTTCAGGTTAGGGGAAACAGGGTAGTGTTCTGTACACACTAGGTGGCTTTTTTTTTTGGACTTCCATTGCCTCCCATTTACTACCACTCTTTCATCCTGGTGAGTGCTTTGGCATCCTCTTGCGTGCATGGAGAGCAACCACACCCACTGAATATGTTCCATTGCTTCAAATAGGCCTACTCTAGTTGTAACATACAATATTTTAGCAACTGGAGTAGGGCTATATGAGTCAATGGAACTTAGGGAGTACCTGAATAAATCCCCACTGATTCAACTCCAGTGTGATTTACTATGCTAAGCAAGAGGATTTCAGCCACTAAATGCTAATGCTTTGAATGTCTACCTTTGGTACTATCCTTCACTGCACTATTTGCATGTCAAACAAAAGAGGATCTGCATCACACAGATTTTATGTTGTAAACGTTAGTTTTTGCCACCTCATTCCGCCTTCTCCAAAAGTGGACAAAACGTCCACACATACACAAATATACTAATTAGGTGTAACATGTTTCAAATATTGTTTTCAGGAGCAACTGACTTGAACCCTTGTCGCCCAACTCTGCTGCAAAAGCCGTAAGGCACCTCTAGACAAGATGAAACTATTTGCCACAAATATCCAATTAGCTTCAACTGCATAGCAACACCCATCCAAGTTATGACTCCCTTTGTTCCACAGCTCTTCGGAACTTTTAAACCACATCATTATCTACTGACATGCTAAAACCAAACTTCTGTCAAATGATGCAATATCCATTTGCTTTGAATTTTCTTTGTAACCAGAGCTGCAGCTGAATGCTGCCTCAGGCTTGGATTTTGAACACTGGTAGCTCATAATGCACAGCTCATATAAAAGGTGTGCATTATGACCCTTCTACCCATCAAGTTCTGTCAAATTAAGAACTCTTTCTCACTTGTCTCTAGAGCCCTACAGTTAGCTTCCACCTATCTGTTTACATCAAACCCCTCTCCTTCCATTTTCTAATGGTTCTGGCATGCTACTGTAGCAGTGCAATGCACTAGAAGGGAGACCGGTAGGGGGGGAAATCCTGCAACCTTTCCCTCCCTATTGATATTACCACGTCTGCAGCAATACTAGACCTCATCAAGCTTCTGAGCTAAATCTGATCCTGTTGCATCCTCAACATTGGCTTGGAATAGCCTGGGCTTTCTTCTAACTTCAGTGGGAATCATTTGAGTTGTTGTTACATGCCATGAAGTCATTTCTGACCCATGGTGACCCAACGAATGACTGACCTCCAAAAAGTCTTATTGTCCACAGCCCTATTCAGCTCTCATGAACTTAAGGCTATGTCTTCCTTTATTGAACTAATCCATTTCTTATTTGGCTTCCTCTTTTCCTGCTTCCATCAATATTTCCCAGCATTGTTGTCTTTTCCAGTGATTCTCATCTTCTCAGGATGCTTCTAGGAAGAAGTGATGCTTGATTTGATCTTGAGCCCACCTATTTGACATCCTTGTCATTCATGATATCTGTAAAACCACAGGTATTTCTTACCTTGAAAACCCTATAGTGAATTTGGTTCAGCAGAACCTGATTTCAGAACTGTCATGTGTATGTATGGAATCAATCTCTACTTAAAGAGGTTCTCTCCTTTATTAACTGAACTCTGACATTACACTATTTGACAATCTCATTATTTTTTTAAAAATCAAAGTGATGGGGAAGCTAGGTTTTTCATTTTCCAAAATACATTCAATGTAAAAAAAAAAATACTTACTTGTAAGTATTGTCAGCAAAAACAGGTATTCTGTGTAGGAGATCAATCCTGAAGCCGGGGGTGGGGGGTGAGGAAAGGAAAGAAGAAAAAAGTTACATTCAGAATCAGCACACTGATGTGCTCTATTTATAGCACAGCTTGTATCATTATACAAAGCGTTTTAATTTTATATATTGATTAACTAAAGGAAATAGTAACTACTGTATTATCTATCAGTCAAATCAGATTTTTTTTCTGTTCCCATTTCTACCGCTACGATGTTAAACTCATTCTATTGTCCTCTTCATGCTGATGTCTCATTAGAGACCTGGGTTTATTTGGCTTTAATAAAAGGTCTACACTAAATCTTTGGACTTCTGCAGAAAATATTCAATGTTTATACAAAGGATGAATAAATTAAGTGTGCTTTGTCATATTTAGTACCTGGGAGGAGAGCTACTCTTAAGTTACTCAGAAAGATCAAAATATTTTATCCTTTGGCAGTCTTAGAAAAGCGAAGACCAGATTTTCTCTAAGTCTCAAGGGGAATATGGCAACACAAAGCTGCAAGGCTGTAAGATTCCACTGATAGGACCGCTGGGCCAGGAGCCAAGAAGAGGCTTCATTTTTTAAAAATCTGAACACGTCCTTTCTACAAGGTGAAAGTGTTTTTCCCCTTTCTTTCTGAAGGAAAATTCCAGCATTTCCCTTTGAAAGGCTGACTTAAATGAAGAGCATGAACAAACACTGAGATGCGACAGTGCCACAATAGTAACATGCCAGCTAAAGATGGAGAAGTATATAAAGAGTATGGTTTAAAGAAAAGAATCCGAAGCATCTTTCCTATAAGACCTTTTTTTTGAGATGCCTTTTCTAAGTGACCAAAAAGGGGGGGGGGGAGAGAAAGAACACCATGCTACTTTTAACATGTGAACTAAAACCATCCTGCGTAATGGAAGAAACTGTTGAAAGCACATGTTTGAATTCCACTATCCACAGGGAAATTATTTCTGTGATTTACATTTAGAGATAGGCAAAGAGTCCCCTCCTGACTCTGCTTTGCTAGCAGTATTTCACAGTGGAACGGGAAAAAAATCTACAATTTGAAGAATTATTTCTTATGTCAGCTGCAGGATGCACACGGTTTATTCCACGAAAATCAGTTTAGATTGCTAGCTACATATTGGAGGCTTTTCTCTTAGCTTTAACAACTCACTGTGTGGCATGCTGTATCACATATTTGGTCTGCCCCAGACTTCTTATCTGTCCGAAGTGGCAGGAACAAAATGGCTATATCTATGTAAAGTTACAGTGCACATTACCCTTTCTGCTAGCAACATGAAAAGCAAGTTTCATTGTGCTCTCTCTTCAAAGTGCTTTTGAAGCATTTCAAGGTGCATAACTTCATAGGCACTTTATGAAGGAGGCTTCCTTTTGAAAATAGTAGCTCTGAACAGGAACAACAAGAAAAAATACAGAAAAAGAGGAGCAAACAGACAGTGGCTGAAATCCTATTGCTCAGTGTAAGGAGCAGAAATTAATGTTGGGATTCCAAGCTACAATTAGCTTAAGGAACCTAACTGATCCTTTGGTTTATACTTCCAGAATGATATTAGAAGTTCCCCTCCAGTGTTCTACACATTCCCTAAAAAAGGTGAATCATAACTTTCTAAGCCTTCCTGCCTCCTAAGCAGAATTGTTTGGGAAATTCTATGACTTTGTAAACAGTTCTCCCTTTTTAAAGGATCAGTGTCCTGGTCTTATAAAGAACAAAAACAATTCCATGCAAATATTCAATTCCTTGCAGGCTGGAAATGAAGCAAGAGTTCCATACACTGAAACCTTATATTTAAGGATGAATAGAGTTTTCTGTCAAAATAAATTCTACTAATGACACAGACCATTACCTTTATCGCCAAGGTCTCTAAAAAAGGTTGGCCCTGGTTTAGCCTTTGATACATTTGCTAGTGCAGAATCTACTTCCTTTGAAAAAACAAAATAAATACCAAGTTAGTCCTGGAAGAGGAATCCATTAAAACAAGTAGCATAAAGAACAAGAGTTCTCTTGAAACATAGCAGGAACACTTTGCTTACCTTTTTTGTCAGTTTCTTGGCCAAAGTTTTACCTGTAAAGGAAGGAGAGAGAAAAACCCACTCAATCATCTGTAAGTCAAAACTTTGATCAAATTCTGCAGTTTTTCTTCAGGCTTAAATAGGAAAAATATAAGTAATATGAAACAGAAAAAAACTGCCTACTTCAAAATTCACACAATGCTCAGGAAAACACTGCTCAAACCTAATAGGAATTGTCTGTTCAGATGTTCCTTCAATATAGAACAATGATAGTATAATTAACTAGATATTCTTAAACTTTTATTAACATACATTTCCAGAGGTAGTAGTAGTGATAATGCAAAATGGTGATTATGCAAACAAATATAACCTGCCTCCAAAAACCCATGGGAACATCAGGCAGAAAAAGTGTCAAAAAGCAATGAAGTCAAAATCCTGTGGGATTTTTGGATCCAAACTGCTAGACATCTTAGTCCTAACACACCAGACATAGCAGTAATAGAACTCAGAAATGTCTGGATAATAGACATTGTAATTCTAGGGGATGCCAGAGTTGAAGACAAAGAATTGGAAAAACTAACAAAATACAGAGACATAGCAATTAAAATATCCTGCTTGTGAATGAAACACACTTCAAGTGGTCCGCATTGTCATCGGGGCTTTGGGAACAACGTCAAGAAATTTCACACAGTACTATAAGCAGTTGCAGATTTCAGAAATAACAATCAGAGTTACAAAAAATGGCAATAGTAGAAACAGTATACATGTGCGCTAATATTTAACAGATACTTAAGTTCTGGGTAAAACTTATGCAATACCAGTCAATAGTTTTATAATTTTGACTGACTATGTTTGGTACTTTTGAATGATAGTAACAATGTGCAGTTAAGTCAATTCTGACTTATGAGAACGCTTTCCAGGATTTTCTGGGTGGAGAGTACTCAAAAATGGTTTACTGTTTCCTTCTGCTAGGAAGCATCCTGGAACTGTGCACTTTGCACAAGACCACACAGACTTGATCTTCTCCCTGGAGGCACAGTGTAGAATTGAATTCCCAAACTCTATCTCTCCAGCCAGACACTTAACTCACTGAGCTATCCAACCAGCTCAAGTTATATTACCTTAAGACAAATAACAAAGAAAAGTAGTCATACAGCAAGCTGAACACTACTAAAATGTTCAAAACATATTGTAGTAGAAGACCACCATTATGTTGGAGGAGATCCACACAAGAGTGAGGTTGTATGGCATGACCCTGCACATATTAAATTCAGCATGACTCTTTAATCACCGCCCAATGTATTTTATCTAATTTCAGGTTTGCCTTCAAACTTTTCCATGAAATTTACTACTTTGACTTAATCCCATACAAGTCTCCTACCATATGATTCTACATAATTTAATACAATAGTGCAACGGCAAACAGGAAAAGTAAAGAAAGGGTGGAGCCAGTGTAGTATGATAGTCAAAGCAAAAGACTAACTTGGGTCCATATTTCTGTTTGGTCATAGAAATGGGAAAACCACTTTTCAAATATCTTGCATACCTTGAAAATGCTATGAGGGGCATGGCTTGATGGCAAACAAGTACCTCTACAGAGGCATCACATTTGCTTCAAATAATGTATTTTTTCTTCCTGATGGCAGGCAGAAAGAAAGGAAAGGGTAACGGAAGACATTACTCTACAAGCTAAACAGGATGTGGCACAAACCTGCTTTTCAAAACATGGACCCACCTTTGTGTCTCTAAACTCAACGTAGCCTTTAAGACCTGATAAGATTAAGGAAGATGGCTTTCCCCCTTCCATAGTAAGGAAAACTATTCCCTGTTCCTAAATGTGGTTCTTTTGGTTAGCTTTGAGGAGGAGGCTTTCAGAAACATTGCCCTGTTCTCCATAAATTTATAAAATATGTTCAGAAGGAAAGCTGAGGAAGGTCACTTTACTTACAATGTTCCAGTCAAAGTAGATTAGCTTATTCCTAATACTCCAAAATGAAGTGTTTTCACTCCACTACCCCACCCCACAAGAACAAACAAAAGCAATACACCTGTACCAGGGTGGGCAACATGTAACCCCTGCAAGCCTGACATGCGTATGCATGAGAGCGAGCTCCACCCCTCTGTGGGAGCACCCCCCCCCAACCGGTCCACAGTTGGGAAAAGGTTGGGGACCACTGCTCTAGAAGGTTCAGGGGATCAAAATGATATGAGGTACGTCAGAACAAAAAATTAAAAATAAAAATCTTGCAACATGAAAACCCAATACACAGTTATAAAAATGTCAAAGCCATTTCATCCAGTGATTTAATGAATTGGTACCAGTAATTCAATGAGATTAATATAAAGTATATAATGTGAAGATATTAATCTGGAATGGGGAAATGAGGACTGAATGGCTCATCCACAAGACCCTCACCTCCTCAATGCAGTGGACCTCTCAAAGCTATCTGGCTTGCCTCTTTATTATGGCATTCCATCACACAGTTACTGGGAGGCAACCTACAGTCTTTGAATGCTTCTGGGAATACTCAATTTTATTGCTGTTTTATCATTTTCACTCCATGTACTTTAACTCATGCAAAGTGAAGGCAAATATGAAGAAATATACTGACGGCAATGAAAGCTAACATTCAGTGCTTTAAAATATTTTTTTATTGTTATAAACATGAAAGAATGGAAAGTGCTTCAAGACTGATAGCGTCCAAGCCTATGATGGAATTTTGGCTCATGAAATAAATGGAATGTTTTTCACGCCATCTCCACTTTTTTGAATATCCAAATATTTGGCTCTTAAACAATATATAGCGGACCCATGAGCACTAACTAGGCATAGATACATTGTGTTACAGACAGACGGGCATTTTTTGGCCTCATAAGTAAAGATACATATATAGTTGCAGGCTGGCTTTATAAAAGGTGAACATCTGTTCAGTAGGACAGTTTAAACTTGAAACAGAAAATATCACTTACGTTCTGATTTGTCAAACATCACTGAAAACAGAAAGTCCCTTGGGGTCATGTAATATTCTCCTTCATATTCCAAAGAAGCAAACTGCAGGAAACGTTTCTTTCGTATGGAAAGCTTTTCCGCCATGTCTTCATCTATATCCTCTTCTTTCTACAAATAAAAGGGTGATAAATTGACATAGTTAAAATTGTAGACAATACCACCCATAAGCCAAGGTTGAACCAATAGAGCTAATTATCATGTACAACAATCTACATTTATTCAAATACAGTCATGTCATCTTCTGGTTGCTGCACAATGCTGCACAATAGTGGAGGGTGGGTTTTCACTTAACTGGGGCTCATTTTTGGGGCAGGGCTTATATTATATTACAAGCATCCTGATAAATCACACTAGGGCTTATTTTCAGGTTAGGTCTTATTTTTGGGGAAACAGGGTACAGTGATGCTTTGAGTTATGAACTTAATTGGTTCCGGAACTCCGGTTGTAACTCGAAATGGTCATAAATCGAAGCACCATTTCCCATAGGAATGCAATGAAATGCAATTAATCCTTTCCGGCTGAAAGTAAAAAAAGAAAAGAAAAGCGAACAAACTGTGCAAGACCCATTGGAAATGCAAAAAAAGCGAAGCAAAAAGCAAACAAACCCCGCATGACCCATACGAAATGGGGGAAAAATCCAAAAAGCAAACAAACCCCACAAGACTCATCGGAAATGGGGGGGAACCAAAAACCAAATAAACCCCGCAAGACCCATCACACCATAGAAACATAATCCCACCACTCAGCCCAAAACTATGCTGCAGAACCCACCCAAAACAGTTTTTATAACGCCGAAAACAGCACTTTACCTTACCAGGCAGTCCAAAGCCTCCTCTGATCACACTCACTCTAACCATTGGGGCGAAAGAGCTACAGCCTCTTCGCCTACCAACAGTTAGCAATTTGAATTCCCCACCTTTCCCCCTGCCTTTTTCTGTTTGTAACTGGCAGCTCCGGCCGCACGTAGAAGCAAAATTTTGCGTCCGGAGCTGGTCGCAACTCGAAATGGTCGTATGTCAGGACGTTCATAAGTCAAGGACCACTGTATATGTTTTTTGCATTAGGTTTACTAAAGAACCTGAAAGCTAGAACAAATACATAGCTGACATTGCATATTAATTTATAAAAGTCTTTCCATTTACTATAAAGGTAACCTTAACAAAAGATTGGCAGCAACAAATTTCTTTTAAAAACACTTTTATGAGGCAGAAGACATAACAATACTTGTGTTTTATCATTATGAATACAAAAGAAAAAATAACCACAATGAAACACATTTAGTTAAGATGATGTGTAACATTTCAGATAAAGAGTTCAGTTCTTCAATTGTGTGTAGATGGAGCAAGGGTGTTCTCACATATCGTATGTTCTTCAGCAGCAAGGCACAAAGTGAGTGAAGGATGAAATTTCAACTTAAACCTAACTGCTTTTGTGGTTTTAGGTCAGATCTCCAGTGTTAACCAGGACTGTTAATGGGAGATTCTCTGATAGTTAATAGTGAATTTGACTTGAATGACTTCAAAGAAGACTCCAGTGACGCAAGTGTCTTCCCCTTCCATTGACGTGGCAACTGATCAGCTGCTAGGAAGCAATTTATGTCTCAGCATTGTTTGACTCCAGCTACAATTCAGCTTGTGAAGAGACATGCTTCAAGGCAGCAGGGTTTTTTTTTCTTTGTAAGCTAATTTTTAATTTCAGCTATAAATCTTCTCAGGTTCATTTGAAAACACACACAATGGTTTTCTCCCATTTTCAGGTGTACGTAAAAAATCTGGCCTGAGGCAGCTATAAGGGCACACTCATAATGTTTCTCCCCAACCCCTGTTAAGCCTCTTTAATTTATCTTAGGGGAGAACAATGGATTTTAATCATAGACCATTTAGTTGTACCAAAGCAACCGAATTTAAAAAGCTCTCCACTTTTGTTTCCTCAAATCTCAGCACTTACCATAAATGTTAACATACCTCATTGTTAGCTATTAACAATGGGATACTGTAAACGTTTTCAGAGAAGAGGTTTCATACGCACATTTACACATTGTATTTAACCAATATATATAAATACTTAACGTTTACTTCAATTCCCCACTGTGTCTCCTTGACAGGGGCTCTCAAGGAGACACGGGGTCCCTTAGGGTTCCGTCCAGCTCTGCAGTTCTAAGATTATGATTATTATTCCTTTCATTTTGTTTCTTCCTACTATTTTCCTGCTCTTTGTACCATTGTATCTTGTTGACCACCTTTCCCCTCCCAATGCAATGTCATTTCCTTTTTCTTTCTCCAACACAGTATAAATGAAAGAAGAGGCACTGGCTTTCCAGATGCTAGACTGCAACAGTCATCAGCCTAGCCAACTTAGCCAGTGTGTGTGTATGATGCTGGGGAAACTGCATCATCAGAAGGACCACACATTCTCTAGCCCAGTGATGGCGAACCTATGGCACACGTGTCACAGCTGGCACACAGAAACATCTCCCTCGGCACGCAAGCGGAGCGCTACCCCGACCCCCTGCAGCCGAATCTCAAACTGCACGATCATCAGCCACCTCTCCCTGCTACCTTCCTTGGTTACAGCACTACAGCACTTGTAAATCAGTTTAGAGATCGTAGATAAGGCTGCTTTATTGTTTACGGCTGTAGAACAGCCCCGGGCAGTCAACCCGGCTTGTGAATGACTACTTCCACCGGAGGTGGAAAGCTCCAATTAAGGTGGGAAGGAAGGTGCAAGAGAGGGACGGGTGGATTCATCAGCTTGTTTAAATGTATGTAGAAAATTGGGGGAGGACGTATAGGTATGTGTGTATGAGAGAGAGAGAGAGACTGACTCAACATCATGAAAAAAGGAACTGAGACAAGTACCCTTTATTTGGTTATTTTAGCTTCTAATGAAAGTCCACACATAATTTGCTTTACTTATCTCTCTGACAAGTCATGGTATCTTTAAAACTCATTTCCAACACTAAATTTCAAATAAGTTAAATGTGTGTATATACTTTATGTAGTGTATAAAATGTAGGTATACACTTTAAACGTTTGCACTCCTGTATATAGCTGCTTTTCTGAGGCTTGGCTTACTTTGGAGGAAACAAGTCCAGGATTTCAAAGTGGCAAGTGATGTTAGTCAGCAGCTCACAACTGACTTACAACAGGCAGCCTGTTACTCCATGTGCTTGGATGAAAGCATAGGTATTAATAATTATGCAAAGCTAGCGGCAATTTTGCGTTATGCTGTTGGTGACATCATGAGAGAAGAGCTGGTGAACTGTTGTCTTTCCCTGGAAGAACACAAGGGAGAGATATCTACAATGTTGTAATGGAAGCTTTTTTTGTCACAAAACATAAGAACAGAAAAAGTAGTTTCAGTTATTAGAGACGGGGCACCTTGCATGGTGGGGGTAACATCTGGTTTCATACAGTACTTTGTTAAAGAAGCAAAACATCCAGTCATTCAGTTTCATTGTACAGTATTATACATCAAGAAGTTCTTTGTGTCAGGGAAAGCAGCAAAAAATTAGACGATATTCTCAGAGCTGTCACAAAAATGGTGAATTGCATCATGGCTAGTGCTCTTAATTTCCGGCAATTCCAAGCACTTCTCGATGAGGTTCAGGCACAGTATAATACTTTATGTACAATAATGTCCTGTGGCTTAACAGAGGATGAATCCTGGAGAAATCTGTAGCCTGCTTTGATGAAATTAGGCTGTTTATGACTGAAAAAGAACAAGAATATCCACAGCTCACTGATATGGCCTGGCTTACCAACCTCATGTTTTTTTTACGGATTTTATAGCACACTTCAATATACTGAATGAAAAACTAAGGTTTAGGGAAAACAGCAGAAAGGATGTTTTGTGACATCAGAAAATTTGAGAGAAAACTGCAGGTTTTTGAGAGAGACCTGGAAAGTGGGCAGCTGAAATATTTTCCAAATCTAAAAATGTATTTGAAAAATTCTACATTTATGGACACTCCTACAAGCCATCAGGAAATCTACAAGGAATTTCCTAGCATTGAAGCAGCTGCAAAGGGGAATTTTAGGAATGGATTTTTACAGTACCGTAAGAGGGAGACAACCCTGTGTTTTCTTACTTCTCCATGAAGCCAAATTTGAAGAACTTGATCTTTCCTGCTTACAGTGGTTAGATTTTGGAAATCTGGAAATTGAGCTATTAGAATTTCAAGAAAACTGTATCTGGAAAAATAAATTCTATGACCTGCGTGCAACACTGGAGAAAATAGAGTGTGAAGGGATGACAAAGGACAGCACAGCTGGTCGTTCTGAAAATGAAATCCTTAAAGTTTGGAATTCTCTGCCAAATAATTTTAAGTCAATGAAAGCACTTGGGATTGCTCTTCTTACTTTCTTTGGATCATCTTACACTGTGAGCAGCTGTTTTCAGCTTTGAATTATATCAAATCTGATACCAGAAACAGACTGACAGATGACATGAGTGCTGCATGTGTTGCTCTCAGACTAACTGCGTATGAGCCAAGGTTTGACAAATTATTAGCATGCATACAACATCAAAAATCACATTAATTGTGCAAAAGCATGCCAAGTTGAGTATCCCTTATAAAAATTACATGCATATAATTATTTTAAACGTTTGTATAAATTACCTGGCTTCAGACTATGTGTTCAATGTATTCTTTTAATATTTTTCCATTTACTAGAGTTAATGGTTATTTTTCAATAAAAAAGTGTTTGTATCATTAAAAGTTCTGTTATTGTTTTTTTTTCTTTGAAGAAAAAAAGGTGTTGATTAATTCAGACAACTGTATGAGTTTTTTTTTTCTAAACTAAAACCTCAGTATTCAGGTTTAATTGCAGTGTTGGCACTTTGAAATAAATAATTTGATTTTATGTTGCCGTTTGGGCACTCAGGCTCAAAAAGGTTCACCATCACTGCTCTAGCCCTTTTATTACTGTAGTGACTGTGTCTGTATTCCTAAACCAATTCATCCCATTTCCTCTTTTCACAAGAGAACAAGAAGCAAACATGACTAGCATGGTTTTCCTGTTTTCTGATCATGAGGTGTAGTGCCTGACGTTCCCAGGTATAGCTTCAGCACCAAAGTTCCTATTACCCACCTTCAACGTCTGTCT